AACGCTATAAAAAAAAATCTAATGTTATATACGTCCGCTGTACAAATTACATGCGATTTAAACTGTTTGGCGGGGCGTTTTCTTAATAGTGTTTGCACACACTGTATAATCTGCACTGCAGTCAATACTCGGTAGTGCCAGTGATTTTTAAATATAATCGGATGAACAGTGCTATAGACAAAAACGGCGACTGATTTTATTGGGGATTCCCGTCGTCAACAGAGGTACCCTTGTAATAGTTTACCATCCGCCGGTCCATCAACAATGACTAGGGTACCTCTGTTGACGGCGAGAATCCCGCATTAAATCTGTCGCCGGTCATGTGTATAGCACCGCTTATTTGTATATTTTCAAATTAATGGTAGTACCGTACCTACACACCGCAATCGAGTAATAAATATTGTAAAATTAACTATAATTAAGTGTACGTAGAATATTATGTTGTACTTATATTGTATACTTGTAAACCAGTAACCACGAATAACCGGGGCTTGTTTGAAATAAAACTAGGTATTTTTCCTATGGGATTTACGGAATGATGATGTTTTCGTATAAATTATTTATACGATATTTTGATACAACTAATTACAACTCAATGGCGCGGCGGTATAGATGGTCTAATCGTGCTTCATAGTTTAAATCGACGAAGGAGAACCACATTATAAAAGAATCATAATGGCGTATAAATTCAACTATAAAATGTATTTTTAGCTTACATTTGTTTATCTCAGTTTAATATGTTAGCACCGCGTACACAGCCACTGTCAAAAATGCTGTTTCTAGGAGCAGCTTTTAATGTGAACCATCTAAAATGACAGCATGGAACAAGTTTTTGAGTTTGTTTTATATGATTTATGGACAATGCAATACGACTCTCAAACTACGTACAAAAACATATATATATATATATATATATATATATTACTGCGAGAAAGAATTATCCATTAGAAATAGAGACGGTTAGTTTTTAAAGAAGTAGTAGTAATTCATTACAAACGGGAAGATCCAATAAGAGGTCATAACATTATACTATTCATTGATAAAATAAAAATTAACTTCCATATAAGAGAGAGACACATTATTATCTATAGTGAATGTTCATAACGACTTTGACCAATTTAGGCCAGTTAACAGAAGGCCCGCCCAAACAACATAAATAGTATAAAAGTAGTTATGGAAATATAATTAACTTATACAATCGCTAGAACAATAAATATTATCATTTTGTACAAGATTATTATTTTTCCACTATACATGCAGACATCATTCGTACCTACGTGCATTTGGATTTCTCTTAAAAATACTTATTGGACTTTTTTCCCTCTTAATGTAAGTGAATCCACATTCTGGAATTCCATTTGATCTTCTGTATAAATTGTGTATTATGTATAAATGACAATTTATGTATACATATTTTTCGCTCTAGGCTCTAGCTTATGCTTAAATCTTAAAGCCTCTGCGCTTATATTAAATACATATGTATAACAATATTACATACACACGCTCATATAATATTATAATCTCAAATACATTCCTCCGCGATCATTCTTTGGCGGCTTATTTGTTCATTCAACGTCTGACGTGTATTACAAAATTAACCCTAGCGTTGACACGAAATTAGTATTAGTATTTAGTATTTTTTATTATTATTATGTACGGACATGCGGTGTACCTAATATATGCACGCTACGGTATTTATTGTGTGTTTTGAAATAATATATTATAATAAATAGTTATATTATGGCGTGGCGGTAATTACGGACCGTGTTATCGTTATCAATTATCACGAACGTATAAAAACGTTTAAAAACAATTTCATATTTATCGCGAGTACGTGCCGTACATTAAGACTGGTAACTTTTTATCCCATTGTATTTCTCATAGATACGGGTAAGTAATAAGTATTATAGTATTTAATATTGTAATATATGTATAGGTATAACATATATGTACCTGTTTAAGCGATAAACGAGTTTACTTTTACGCAGTGCATAGCGTATAATATTACCTATCATAATAATTATTTATAATGACTATTACATATTAGAACCCAAACACCTTAAAGGTTGACGGATGGAAAAAAACCAATTGACTTTTTATAAGTCCCTAACGTTAGCGGTTAGTTGGTTAGGTTTGCCACGATTCGTGTTTGCTGAGTGTTATGTTAAAAAAAATATCTCTCTATTAACATTTTTATATTTCTAAATATAGCGTACTCATACAATTGATTGCAATACGCAAATCTGTATAATTATAATGATGTTATTTAAGAGGTATTATCAGGGGCAGATAGACCTTTAGGAAAAGAGGAGTTATCCTTGTAGGTCCTCGTCCATGCCAATCTCGGTGCCCCCCCCCCCCCCCAATAGCGCCATTGGGCGGTGCTGTTCATTTTGACTTTGGTAGCCAGTTTTGGTTAATTTAATGGCAGGTATAATATCTTCTAATATAAACATCACAGAAATTTATATGCATAAGCAATTAATATTATATAATATCTACCTTCTCACTGCGTTTTAAAATATTTGTATAATTTAACGCATAATTGCAGCAATCTGGTTTTATACCTGTCAATATTTTCGCTAGATCGTTTTCTTTTTGATATGATAATATAATACTTATCTGTTATCATAATGTATGTTGCTACTTGCTAATAAAAAAAAAAAAAATAATAGCTTTAATAATAATAATATGACTTGTAACTTGTTTAATACAGTATATAGTTGTTATTGACAATACCTATTAAAAAGACTGACATAGATGAAAAAAAACATTTGTTTTTTTAAAATCTGTACTTAATTTTGCGTCGATTTGTATGCGACAATAAATAATTGTGTGGTCAAAAACACACATGTATAGGTTTTTATATATTATCTATATTAGACTCTCAGTAAATAAAAACAAATTTTGCTATCCTCCTGGATCGTTTTTATTTGTCAAAAAGAAGAAATGTTTAAATAAAACTGGGAAAAAATAAAAATGTGTATGAATGTGTTTTGAAGTTATGGCGGTTTTAATGAAAAATACATTTTTTTCGTGTTAATCAAACGGGGAAAATGTAAAAAAAAATATATTTTTTCGACAAATAAAAAACTATTTTGGGGGTAGCAAAATAATTTTTTTTGGGACAGTTTATTATAGATATCATATATAATATATGGAAAACCGCCTGAGTGCTAGCCACCTTAATATCGGCAGGATCGAAAATGTGACAAAAAGCAAGTAGTGATTCTTAAGCCAGCACGAACTTATATTTAGATATTAACTTACCCACCAGTTATAATAACGTTAGACAAGTGGCTATAATAAGTATATTAGAAAAATATACTTAAATAAGTTTGGAAAAACGTATATACCTACCTTTATAATGTATGGGATGAATCATGAGTGAATCTAAGTAAAATGAAACTATGATGGCATATATTTGCTTCGGCAATCGTCTCCTATACCTATAGCTTTATTTTATTAGTTTATTCTGGTCTTTAAACATTTTAACTATAATAATCATTCTGGTATGGAAAATTAAGATTATAATTCCGACTGTTCTTATTTAATTTTGAACGTTTTACGGGAAGCTAAAAATAATTTTCAATTAAAGCTAATAATAATTATGTTACTTAACAGAAATTATATAATTGCATAATCATTACATGCTTAGGTATATATGATATAAGAGCCTATAAATAAACGTTATTCTAAAAGATCTGAAATTCTTAAGTAGATATATAGGTACACGCAACGTACGTGACTGCTTATAGGTAATTAGTTATACTTCCTACTCTACTCATATCTTATGCGCTAAAGCCTATTATAAAAATATCTTTTTTTTAATTTCAGGTATGACTAATGTGACCGACCAATCAAGGTTTGGCTAGGTATACTTAAAATAATGTTGTTCTCGCATTATGAAAATGTTGATTTTTTTTCTTGCACATCAGTATATTTAATACTATCTATCTATATACTTTATGTGTAGGTAGTATAATAATAGTATGGTAATTAAAACGATTAACTAACTGTAATTTGTGTAGAAATATAATGCACGATCCGTCGGTTGCGATTGTATTAAAATTTAAAACTTATACTAATAAACATCTAAGCTTATTGACTGGGTATAATAATATATTCTTTATTGCAATTTATAATTATAATAATATTATCCGCAATAGTAACATAATGTATCATATGCGTCCGCCTATATTACATTAGTATATTATATTTGACGGCATGGTCCCCCTCCCGACTTTGCGCATACGCTCATATAGAATCATTATTATAATAAATATATGTAATATGTATATGGTAAAACGCTCGTTAGGCCACCCAGTTAGCGTCACGACGGAAAGATTTCCCGCTCTTATACATTTTGTATATTATTATAATAATAAAATTATACTGTGGTTCCGACACCGCTGCCGAATATTCAGCATTCATATGTGTGTGTGTGTTTGTTGAGAGAGAAAAGTAAGAAAGAAAACAAGAGATACGTACCTACTCCGCACGACGGGCGCGAGCTCATAATTGATCTGCCGCCGACTACACACCGTGCTCATCGTGTTGGCTTGGATTAAGTGAGAAGGGGCAAGGCGGAGGGGGGAATAACCGAGAACCTGGTATAAGGCCGCCTATCACCGCTAATAAATTACCGCCAAGATAAATCGACCGGTATCATGGTTAACTCGGCGACGGCTGTGAGTGCAAGATACACGATAATAATAATAATAATAATAATATAAGAAGAAAAACATAATTTAGCGTCTTAAAAAGAGCGCACACCAGCGTTGTCGCCCCGACAAAGAAGGCGTAATTAAAGGGTTAACGCGGTGCCGGTGCGGGTGAGGGGCGGACGAGAGCGACACCGTCGGTGAGGCGACCACGGGTCTCGCGATTGGTCGGCGTTTGGGTCGCCGCCCCCGGGACGCGCCCATCGGCCGACACGGCGGACCGGCGACCGCCCGACAGATCCGGCACGCACACACACCTTCAGACGTCGTCACGAATTTACACGTAGTGGTCCGTCCGCGCACACCGGTCTCGCTCGTATACGTACACACACACGCCACGTTTTCCCGACGCGTTTGACGGTGCATCCGATTAATAATAGTGCAGTCGTTTTTGCGTTTCTCTATCACTATAATATTATTATTGTACTGTTATCGAGCGTTTGCAGTTGTTCGTCGCGATCCGTTTATGTTATGTGTCAATGACTTTCGTGGCCACGAATAGTATGAAATCGATAGCTTTGCGTACCAACAAGAGCGGCGGCGGGGGCGGTTATTACGGAGGTTGTGGCGGTTACCCGACGGATCTGAGTTACGCCGTGAGGTGCCGTTCCCGAAGTCCGGTCCCGCAACCGGCCGACGACATGGACGACATAAGCGTGGGACGGCCATCGCCGCCCGCGTCCCCAGAATGCTATGCTCGTCTTCACGACAACCGCGGAGACGGTGCCGTCGCCGATTCCGACAGCAGCGATTCTTCGGCGGGGTCGGATTACTTCGAGCCCTTAAAGAAGTTGGGCACCGTGCAGATAGACAAGGTCAGCTACGGCATCAGCGAGCGCAAAAACTACGTGCCCAAACGGCGAGCGCAGCAACACCACAGACAGACGCAACTGGGCGCCCTGGCGGCCGTCGAGATGCAAGCCCAGCGTAGGACGAGCGTCGGGGCTATGAGCGCGGAAGACGCTGCGCCCGCGGCCGGCGTTAAGTCCTTTAGTATAGCCGATATCCTAAGTCACGAGCCGTCTACGGGCAGCACCGTTAAGTCGACCGTGCCCGCCGAAGACTCCGCCAAAATCGTCAGGCCCTGGACGGAAGAATACCAAGTGGCGGCTCAGCCCCCGTGCAGTTCGTTTGTGCCGCCACCTCCTCCGGCTCACCGACAGCCCGTCGGTGCCCTGTTCCCGCACTCGCTGTTTATCCAACACCTACACCAGCACCACCAACACCGTCCCAAGTCGACCGACTACGAAACGTCCACGTGTACCAGCGGCCGATCCAGCACCGACGGCAGCGAGTGTTGCACAAGTCCTGAAATTGCCAGCTGCACCCAAGCCAGCGCGTCGTCAAGATCCAGGAAACCACAAACGGCCGGTAAAAACAACGACAATTCGTCTCCACTGGACGCCTTATTCCAGATGACCAGCAAGACCTTCGATCAGCTGCATGGGGATGCTTCCGGAGCCGGTAAGTGTTGTTTCCAATACTTATTACATGGTTTTGTACTTGAACCGGGTTTATTGACGTTTATTAGATGTTAAACGAATCGTTGTATATTTAATCATATAGTGTCCATTAACATTTGTTGTGCACCGCGACGTTAGACCAGACCTATAACATGATATTTATACACAAACCCAATATTTATTAATGTCAACCGCTCATCTATTCAAAGAAATCCGCATTCTATGGTCATTGTATACTTCATAAGTATAATAACTACAATGTATTACTAAAGTCACCAATTATAATATAGCTACGACTGCTCGGGATGTCCCCCAAACGCTGAGGTTTTTGTTTTCTTTTATAAAGACAATTTCAATTCACTTATTCACCTATCCCACAGTTCACGCGTGACATAACTCACTGTAATTTATGTGACAGCCAGTCTTAAAGAAACTCATTTGTTACATTTACCGAAGCGCCAAAACAAATTTGTGTACGGTCACTGCAAGAGGCGTGTGCCAAAATGGTTTTGGTGTCACATTTACTCAGGACGCGGTCGGTCCGTGCCAAACACATTTGACGCGACATTAATAGTAAAATTAATATCAAATTTTTAACTGTATAAATTATTATTTATTTAGAAACAATATACATAAAACATGACAGGCATTTGATGAATATCTATAGAAATACTTATTCATATTATAGGTACCTACTATCAAATATCAACAATATATTATTATAAGATTATGGTCTATTGATCATATTATTTTCAATTTTGCTATATTATAGCTCTGTCATAAATAAATAAGTATAAATACTAAATAGATAGTTTTGTGCATTATTTAAGTCTAAAAAAACGCATTTTCTTTTATGGAACTTTGTTGTAGAGAATCAAAAGTAATAATTAATAATAAAACTGTTTCATTATTAGTATTAAAATATGATTAGGTGTGTGTGTGTGTGTGTACACTCAATTTGCCGAAATGTCAAACTAATAACCCCGTACACGCATGAGTGTACATGCATACACACATTCAAAGAAAACATATTTAATTATCTTAAAAAACAAAAATACATTAAAATTATTAAAAAGTTAATTTCATCCACTCCCGGTTATTACTATGAGAACCCATAAATATACCTATAATATGTGTGAAGGTATTTTTTTTTTTACTTAAGCGTACATAATATACATTGTTATTAGTCTTATTATATATTCCATGATTAATTTTAACGAGCGCCGCAGCATATAATTCATTTTTTCCACGAATAATTTTGTGGTTTTTATGACGGAACGTTAATTTAATGAAATTAATAAGCGCTAAAAACAAAAAAGTAAAACATAGCTACATATATTTATATGTATTTAACGACTCTAATCTATTTTGAAATACATTACAGCCACCTTAATTTATGTACCTATAACACTTTACAACTATTGTCTATCATAGTGAACCCGAACTAAATTGTCCACTTATACTTGAATATAGGTGAGCGTTTATACTTGGAACGAAATTTCTAACGAAACTACCTGCAAGTATATATAAATACAATGTATAATGTCTAAGAGTGAAAGAGAGAAAAAAAGAGGATGTGAACATACATAAATATTGATAATAGGTGTGAAAGTAAACCGCCCTTTTGACATGCCGCAGCCGCCCCAAAGAAGACCACCCCGCCGCATGAACGCGCTCAAACAAAATATTATATTATATACCTACATACTTTATAGATGTATAAACATACATAATTTACTATTATATTTTATATATAACAACGGAACACGAAACAAAAGCCTTGTCATTAGAAGATTAATAAATAACCGCGACCGAGCATTGTGAATTATATAATTAAAACGTTATTTTGATGTGTGATGCGCACACATTATATTATAATACTAAATAAAAACCAGTACAAGGAATTTAATTAAGCAGATGTTCATCCCCTGTCATTGCCACAGGTATATATGAACATGACATAATTTATGTCTACATACAATATAGTCTTGTGATTCAAATTTTTGTCGGTGAAATGTATTATAATAATAATAATAATGGTATAACGTCCCTACGTTATACTACGTTGAGTAGATGGTTTTTTTTTTATCATTTTATTAATGGTCTTTCGATGACTTTACACTCGAAGTGTGGATCAGAAATGAATATATAACGCTTAAACGTTTGTCTCTCGTATAAATATGTATAAAGCAGATATAACACATTTATCTGATATTCAATAACAATTCGCAATACCTATATATTTTAATACCTATATCTATTATATTATTATAATCTTTTAATGGCCTAACTAACTAACTTATGCGGTAGTTGAACTTAACGTTAACGTTTTAGGATTACAAAAAATAGGATATTGACTAAATAATTACTTTATAGAAAAATAATGATACGCTAGTTAATTTAGTGCGGTATCCATTAACTGAAGTATATATTGCTTTATGCAGGCCGCAAAGCCTTCCACTGCTGAACATTTTCTAAAATAAAATAAGTTTATTTCGAATGTTGTTTTCTTTAATTCAGGGAAGTGGGGCGCATGATCGATTTTCCGTCATTTTAAAAACAACCGAGGCCGCAAAAAAAAATTATTCTTGTTGTAAGCACGCAAATAACGTGTCAATCTCGTTATAATAACCAGCAATGTACTGGTGTAAGCTTGAGTATTGATTTTTAGAGCTAAACAAACCACCAAAAACTATTATTTTTTTATCATTTTGCGAACGAGCGTTTTTCATCTGTTTAAAATCGGGAAAATTATGTTTAAAATAATATTATAAGAGAAATGAGTAAGAATAAGAGGTTTAACCTAATAGATGGATTTCACCACAACATTATCTTTTTAACTAATAGCCAATAATAAAATAATAAAACAAAATGGCCTTTTTCTCAAATATTATATATTTTAAATAATAATGACTAATAGTACTATTTTAAAAATGTATAAAACAGCCAGAAAATCGAAAAGAGCGGTTTGGGTGGAAAACAGTCTGCCCACATTAAATTGTTGACTATTAAATATTAAAATGTATTGGATCACCTAAGGGAGCTGTTCGACCGCGTATACAAAATTAAAGGCAATAAAACAAGGATATGTGTTGTCGCTTATGATACATAATAAGTCACTCTATTGGCTTTTACAAATATATCTCTCAAGCAATAAGTGTTCGTATTATCCCTTCTTTTATAACAGTTCCAACCCCTATTAGGGGTGGTTATGTATAGTGGCCATGTTAACTTGATGTCCACCACAGTATATAGTGTGGCAATAAATATTACATAAAACAACATCATAGTATTATTATGTTAGTGTAAATTGAATGTATATTATGCAGTACTAAAATATTATTTGCCTATCTTTAATTATATTATTTTCGCATTACCAAGACGACCAAAAGCAAACTTTTTTAACTGGCTAGAAAATAGTATATTGTAGAAAATCACTAGCCATTTTTTTTAAAATTTTAATTCGCAGAACACAATATTTAAATCGCAGCAATTTTGTAATAGCGAATTGATGTTATCTTCTCTTCAGTAAAAAATGATATTATAGTATATTATTATATTAGATATATTATATTAAGAAAAAACGGTTGTGACGATTTGTGTCTATGAAATAAGTCTAAACTAAAAAAAAAAAAAAGAATAGTAAAAAATTTGATGGTACCGGAAAACGACAATAGAGCCACGTATTCCGCAAGTTCACCGCGGACTTCAGAAAAAATTATATAAAATAATAATAATATAAACGAGAAGATATTACACTCACTTACCAATTATACCGCTTTGTCTATAATATACTTACCGCAGCATTGTTGTACCTACTCGGATAATGGTAGGTATAGGTACTAGTAGGTTTTGTACGTGCCGGACCACAGGGCGCCCGTGCCCAAAGCGGAAAATCGATATCGATCCGGCCGCGTTGACCGGTAGCGGCTCTACTGTGTAATATACACGCAATGATAATAATAATACACATCTATAATATAATAACGGTTCGATGGTTATAATACTATTATTAAAGTATCACTGTAGCAATGGGCACCGCAATAGAGAAAACACCGTGTGAATTTGATTAGCGGGCCCGCACGAACCAAACCGATTGTTATTTATCTATATATTAAAAATACAGATATACAGTACTATAATGATATATGAAATGGAGTTTCCCACACGTCCGGAGCTTTTTATTCATCGGACTGATTTCGTTTTGATTGTGAGATAGTTTCATCTCCTTTGGTGTGTGCATACACCGCAAGTATAGGACCGTTGATCCTATAATGTGTTTGATCGTTCAACCACGACGGAATTGGCGGTTTATACAATTTTTTTGCTCTTTTACTATTATAGTTTTGGAAATATGACATATTAGATCGTAGGACCGCTTATCCGTTTGTGTAATGACAGCTCTGAAGGAAAATGAAGCGTAGGAAGGCCAAAAGTACTATTCTGGAGAATGATTTGAAGACGGCTCACATATTTTGTTGGAAACCACGGAAGAGTGTGTTTAGTGAAAGTTGAGAACTCCTGTGCCGATCACAAATATAAACGAGAAAAGTGCCAATTAAAGAGAGAATAACATTTACAAGTATATCGACGTGGTTTAGATAATTTAATAGTGAGGACCATATTCGTGACAAAATGGGTATAAATTATTTTTTACAGAATACATATATAATTATTATTAATATATTTATATCATTTTCATGAGCACGATATTTGGACATTATACAAGTACGTTTTGAAAAATGTAACGATTTTATTAGATTAAAATTAATTCACTGCCTACTTATTACAGTAGAAATTGCCATTTTAAAACGAAAACTAATTAGCTACGGGTCAAAAACAACTCAGTTATTTTAACAAGATTTTTTGGCAAAATAAACTTTTGACATGTTAAAAAAAATATTTGAGATTTTCTGTCAACAGAGAGACTCAAACCTTTTATATTTTTCGGTTTTTTTTTATTTAAACGTTTTAGCGAAATACAGGTTTATCAGTAAATTA